TTTTTTTGAGTTGGTTTTTCTTTTCAATTTGTTACATGTACCTGTTAATTTCTCGATTTTTTTTTCATGCAACATAAAGAACTTTGAAAAAGGTACAAAAACCAACCTTATCTCCGAAGCAAGCTTTTCGTTTTCCCAAAACATCCTAAATGACACACTAGCACTCTGGAGCAGATTCAAAAGTCGAGTGGATTCTCCCCATCGCTAATTTGTATGCGCTGATAAGCCGCTTTTTATGAGCTGCTCCCTGAACTTCTTGGGGTAAAAAAATAATGCCGGTGCACTGCCTGTTTGGCTTGCGAGAGCTTGGAATGGGCTTTGTGGTCCCAAATATATTAAAAAAAACTTCCCTAACCAATCCAAAATCAAATCGAGGCCTGGGGTCTTTTGAGGGGCACCTTGTAATCACTCGGCGAACTTTGGTCACAATTCTGTATGGAATCATTGCCCTCCACACCTTAATTCACACTGTGTAACCTTGGAGTGATTTACCAGTTAGGCTGTCATCCAATACCCACATGCTCTCAATGGGTGTGCACACTACCTGGTAAAGACTTTTATTTCATTTCCAAATGTACCCCTATGGTGGGGAAATGACCTTCTGATTTGACACGCTTAATGGGTAGGAAAATTACAAGGCTTTAAAATGCAAAAGAAGTCAATTGCCGATCCAAACTGGGTTGACTACACACACCATGCACTTTGCAGCTGATAAGAAGGTTTGTACTTTTTGGCACCCTGAAAGAAATAAAGTGCTCGACGAAAATGTCCAACTTTCAGCACTAAAGACTTCAAGTGATAGCCTTCAAAAGAGAACCTGCCAGGTACAACTAACTTTTCCCAGCAGCAAATTTCTGCCAGATTTCTCACTCATCAAGAAGAGCACATAAAATGGAAGAACAGTGTGTAATAAGTGTTTTTTTGAATGGACAATACAGTTTTCTTCTGTGATTTTTCTTTGGGGGGGTGGAGGACAGAAATGTGCAATTTTTTACAGTGGTGAGAAATTCTTAATGACATGGGTTTCACATCTGGGGGAAATGCGAATGGGACTGATTTGGTTTTGCATGCATATCAGTCACTCCCAACGTCTCGCAATCAACACCCTCTCCCATTATTTTTTTCCTTCTTTTTGGGGGGAGAGGGGAGAGGGGAAGGATAAACGTTTAAGTTACATAAAAGTAACATAAAGTCACATTTGCTCACAGTTGGTTGAAAAATTCCAAACTACCGGCAATTGTACACAGGCACGACTTACAAGGGAGTTGAAAATTATAGTGTACATGTAAGATGTTTCTTCGGCGAATACAAGTGTTGTCTATGTATAGATACTGTACATGTACCTCTCTGCCTTATTGGATCATAGATTATGTGCGGTCTTTGGCCACAACTCAATAATGCCTGGCAGGGGCCAATATCATTGCGCTGCTTAAGCGAAAAACTTTATGTAAGTGTAAAAAACCTTGCTTGACAAATCAGGTTACCAGCCCTAACTTCTTGTGATGTATATTGTTTTGGAATGGTATTTACCTGTCTTATGGTTAGCATGACAACCACACAGAGTTTGAGCTGGTAACCTTTGTTTATCAAGCAAGGTTTTTTCGTGCTTAAGCAAATTCTGTGCTTAAGCAGCTCTGTGAAACTGGCCCAGACTTTTGGGAGAATGGCTTTAATGCCAATTTTGAGGAGACACCACAGGATCATTGTTCAGCCACAACGCTTGGGGCTAATGGATCACATGACAAAAAAACTCCTCAATACAGGCTGCCTACGAGTGTAGACATGCGCCAACAACGTATGCCCGCAACATTCATCTTTTCACACCGCATCTTATTCAATGCTTCAAACAACTTTTCTTTTTCAAAAATCTGCCCCCAAATAATAATTTTTCCTTTTATCTTCTGTCGTCTTTTGAGCAAGCCCCATTGCTGTGAGCATTGTCGTGAAAGCAAACCACATCAGAGGGCTTCTGCAACAGTCAAGTCGTGGAGGTTGTTAACCTACGTGTACTTGTAAATCCCAGGAATGGCAGGCATTGTCAACCCAGACTGTTAGTTCACAACCTCCTGATTGATTGCACAAGCCAATTTATTAAATTGCACTTTTCTGTCGAGGCCTCCCCAAAAGGGGGGGGGCTTTAGGGGGACGAAGGGTATATGCTATTGTTAAAGCTGGACAATGCTGTGTATGGTACATGTACCTGCTTGCATACGCGCAAGTCAGTATGATTGATAGTTGGACGACCAAATATGGTGAGAGGATCAGGATGAACAAATACATGTAGAGGGCTCCACTACGTCAACAAGAATTCCTTTTCAAAGTCAACAAGTTCCTGAGCCATTTTTGTCCCCAATTTATTCATGACACTGTGTGCATGGCAGGTGCTATCATATGTACATGTGTTTTTTATGCACTTTCTCAAAATGAACTACATGAATGAGAGTGACCAATTTGTTTCCTTTAATCAAATAATCACAAGATATTTGGTGGGATTTACATGTACCGGTACATTAGACTGGATACCAGACCCCATGATTCTGACTACTCTACGAATCAAAGGTCCGGTATCACCCAATGTCCACGTGACCAAGACTGGAGGACTTCCTCCAGTTTTCCGGAAATAGCAGAAATATTCCCAAGTCTACCCATCTATATTCGGCCTGTTCGGATAGTAGATGTTCGGTTATTCCCAACTGGGTGGTTAGGTAGGCTAGCGGTTGAACGTAAACTCCCGTAAAATGGCAGCTGCTGATCCTACATGTGACTTTACACTGAAATCGAAGGTCGCCTTGGCCGAAATCGATGCAAGGCGAAATGCAGAATATAATGCCCACACATACAGGGTGCACCACTGTAATGAAATCGAAAACACCTAGGCTCTCAACCTCTGACCCCTGACCCTTGCATCATTTCTATTTATATCCGTGGGTACTACCCTGACCTTAGTTTTTTTTTATCATTAAGAGTCATCAGGGAATCTTTGGGCAGGGAACCAGACTAGATCTACACGTACATGTACCTGAAATGAAAAATGACCACTTTTCCATGGGGAGGGGGGGATTCTGGAAGGAATTCACTGCCTCATTGCGGTCAGCATTCAACATCTTTGCAATCAAAGCAAAGTATAGTTGCTCCCCAAATAGCTGATTCTTCACATTACTTCACGTTCACTACAAACCACAAAAAAAACTTTCTCTTTGGTTCTAAAATTTTTCCCTGGCAACTTCCAAGGTCAGAATACCATTGTTGGTGCAATACCAACCATTGCCATGGCAACACCCTTCCATATCGGGCATGAAAAAGCACATTCGTTACCACAGCGATACTCGTCAACCATCACAGGGAGGCGAGGAATGTCAACTTTAGTGACTTTCTCTCCATGCCTCAGTCTCTCTCTCGTATACCTGCCTGGGACCAGAATACATCTAGCTTTCTATTTTTTCCCACCAGAGAAGACTTGCAAACTCTCAAATACAAAGCACAGTTGATTTCTCAAGCCTGGTTCTGTTTTTTTTCCCGCAGCGTCTGCATGCATGGGATGACACCTTCAAAGGGACGCGGTGGTATGTGCTTTGTGCACGTCCAACGAGGAGAAAAAATAAATTGTGTGGAAAGAAAACACGGCCTGACCTCAGTCTCCACACGCCCCCCCTTCTTTCCTGCCTCAGTCTCTCTTCATTGAGATCTCAGAGAGAACTGCCTGGCGTGGGAATGAGATTCAGGGACACCGCCAGACAGAACAAGTCACAAGTTGAGCACAGCAAGTCTTCAAAGCAACTCAACTGCCGAGTCCTCCAAACAAGAGACCTGTTACCGTGCCAAGGCTACGCAATGGGTGCAACTTGACAGGCAACAATGCCACGCAATGCTGAGTGATGAGAAATCTATGAATGAATCAGAGAATCCTAAGTTGGAAAATTTCCAGAAACTTCCCAAATAAGCACTTGCGTAGTGGAAAAAAAGCTCAGGGAAACTCCAACACCAATACACTGTACACCAACAGACAATCTGACTAGCATTTATTTCTGCAAAGCCAAAATCTATTCTTCTGAGCAGAGCTTAAGTTCAAATGCTTTCCGGCATTATAAGCTCTCAAGAAGCAATACAACATCACAGCTCAGACTGCTTCATCAATTCATATGCTTGCACACTGGCTAGACCCTCAATAAAAAATGCTTACTTACTTTAAGCTTACTTACTTTAAAGGAACCATAAAATACAAATATTTTACTAAATTATACTAAAACCCTGAAATTGCACCCCCGGGGTTTCAATTTACCTGATTTAAAGTTTTTTTTTGCACGTTTAACCCATATTTTGGGGCTTTTTTGGTTTTTATGCTAATACATTTTTGCATATTCATGAACAAAACTACGATGTCATCCAAGGCACCGAGCCTCAATGTTGCACTGATTTGTGCACAGAAAATTTCTAGATTTTTTTAAACACTGCTATGGTAGATTTCATTTCCTTTGACAATTTATTGTGCAAGTATATGGCAATAAGTAAGCAAGCAACTTTTTCACAGAAATGTTTTCAGATAGCAATTTGAAGTTCACAATTTGAAAACGAAAACATGCAAACTGAACCATGTGTTCCTTGATTCACATCAAAGGGAAAGTGCCCTCAGTTGTCCAGAAATGCTTGGTCAATTTGGAATGTTTAAAGAGTGCACTTTTTAGTTCAGGTAACTCAAAAAAGTCAAACAGTCTTCACACATTTAAGAAGAGTACAGAGATACACAAAAAATGATTCTAAGAAAAATTCATTTCATGGATCCTTTGAAGCACGAGAAATTTTACACTTAAGCATCCAGCAACAGATCCATTTTCTCAAGCAAATTTATATCTTCCACATGTAACAGATCTTACAGAGTTACAAAAAATGAAACCTGAATTATAAGCCTTGCTTTGTTTTTTTTTCCTTCTCAGAGACAATGTGGACAGCATACGAACCGAGGTCTGTCGGTGTCAAAGTTCTTGAAAGTGGGACTCACATACCTGGAAGTGGAGGATGATGGTCCAGATGAGGCCTAGGGTCAACTTGGTGTTGCCATCAACGATGTCCACATTATCGATGTTCACCAAGGCCACCTGAGCAACAAGACACATGTTCCAAGACTGAGAAATATTTCTGCATGTACACCAACAGATGTTTGGTCTCCTATTTCAAAAACCTTTGCAGAACTGCAAGTTACTGGTACTTATCTTCCTCTAAAGTGCTAGCTTAATGCTAGAACCTGATTTTTTTTCCGTAGCCAATTCACTACAGAAGCTGACCAAAAGCTCAGGTTTGTTTATGTTGACTATCGATTCTTCTTGGCTCAATGATCTGACAAGCTTCCCTGCAAATCCGTTCATTTCAGGGGTAAAAAGCCCCTAGCTTTAAGACAAAAACTGAGTGCCACTGACATCATGAGCCCGGACACTTATGATGCACCTTCTTGTGATAGGTACACATTTGGGTAATCCAGAAATGAGCTGTCCTTTTTTTTTTCGTGCCCTTGTCTCGTCTGACATACAATATGACATATGATTTTGTAAGTTCAGAACACATTTTCTAATTTCCAACAGTAATGAATGAATGTAAATTACCTGCTAAATAAACAGTAACAGTTTGAAATCAATTCCGGCGATATTTCCATGTCAAACAACAAAGGTCAGATGTAACAGGGACACAAACATGTCACACTTTTGGACCCCTCATTTCTGGAATTACCCATTTACTTGAAAATAAGTCCTCCCTAAAGAAGTAAGCCACCGAGGTTGGAGTGATGGATGGAATCACTCAGTTGTGGCTACAAGTTTACATGTGGACCAATGAAATGTGCCAGCCAATGGCTCCATCCGTTTGCCATAGCCTCCAGTGTCACTTGATTATGGGATGCTGATCATGTGATACCGGTTCTTATGTGATGAGCCAAGTAATCCAGACAAAGCCTTCACTGAGCAGACCACACAGCAGGGGTTCGATTCCATCCGCAGTCAACTTCTACTCACCTTTTTCACCTTCAGCACGTCTAGCGCCTTCCTAACATTCTGCAGCCGGTGAAGTCTCAACTTGCCACGTTCCTGGGGCTACAGAAAAACCAATCAAATAAATTTCCCCACTCAGTAAAAGGGAACGCGCAACGTTGCATGAAGCGCATGTTTTTAATGGCACATTGGATGCATCCACTTTGGAGACATATTCGCCCTTGAGATTACTCTTTAGGATGGAACAGGAATTTCTTAAAATTTGCAATACTTCTTCAACTTCCCCAGTGAGCTTCCAAACAAGATTATCTCTTGCTTCAATCCTATTTTGGCCAGTGCTGTGGTCCGGACCCCTATAGACTATCACAAGACCAACATAAGACCTCTCGTCTACCACAAAAGCTTTCCTTTGTCACCCTGCGACTTGTGACATATGTGAATGGTCCTCAGTCCGGTCCGTGATGGTCTTGACCACAACACCGATCTCGGAATGCTGTGAGTTTAATATTCGGTCAAGAATATACAAGGAAGAAATTATTTATGCTGCATTAAGGATCACCTTGGGAAAAACTGTATTCCCATGGAAAGACAAATAACTTTCAGAGAGAGAACATTCAAAGGGTCACCAAAAAGTTTTAAAGTCTAAAACCTCCCAATATTAACTTGGATACATGGAATACGGGCAGTCAAAGGGCGGGATGGAAATACTGCAAAAATGTGTTTACACCGATATCATTCAAGAGGTACTGGAGGCCAAAAGGTTGAGTCTGGGGATTCAAGATGGCGACTTACTATTCTTTCCCCTGTGAGGATCTCAAGCAGAGGGATGAGTCGACTGCCATCCCGCAGGTCCTTGTACAGGTCATGCACCAGCGTCAATTGCTTAGATGGATGCTGCAAGCAAACGACAGGACAGGAGGGCATATGAGTTAACAGCGACGCAAGATACCGTTGTACATATCAGGTGTACTTGAAGACTTTTGCTCTGTGAGGCTCATAGCAATAAGTCACACCCATACGCAAGATGAGACACCATGTTGTCTAGTAACATCTTCCTTCTAGGATGGAACCATTTGCCAACATTTGTACTTTGCTGAGTTGACGTTTAATGGTTTTCGTTTCCATAAACTCTCATTTAAGCATACATGTATGCATGTGCACTCAGTATACACTAACGCAATGCACAAAGACTGGGGGAAATACAAGTGTGTGATAACAAAGGGGAAAATGAAAAATTGAACGGGTACCGGTCGTCACTGAAGGTTTCCCTCAATGTTTTACAGGGATTTTTTTGGGGGGGGGTTACCTCAGGGTAGAATCTACATGTAATGTCAGTTTTGCATTCTCTCCCAAAGGATGTCAGTTTGCCACTGAAATTCTTTTGGTAACCTGCATGTTGAGGAGCACGCAAGGGGAGGGGGGATGCATGTTTCATAGATCCCTGTGATTTTTTGTAACATGGCTAGTGGAAGTCGGTGGGAATGGGAAGGTGGGTTGGGACAGAGTGGGGGAAGGGGACCCCTCCTTTTGAAAAACCCTCTGTATCTTGCAGGTAAATCTGTTGGAATATGCATCAATTCTGTATCGAACAGAACAATGTTTCCAGGCTAAAAACTTCATTATTCCAGATTTCTCAATACGTACATGCACATGCAGCTTTGGTATGTGTGTGTGTGAGTTTGTTTCTGCATTCAATCCGGGACCCTGAACAATAGAAGACAATGAGGTCCCCGATTGACAGAGGGTCCCCAATTGACAACTGTGTACAAAACATATGGGTGGTCTTTTAAAAAAGTTAAAGTANAACATATGGGTGGTCTTCTAAAAAAGTTAGAGTACAAACAAAAGAGGAACAATAGGGGGTCCCCAGTTGCAGGCAAATACACACTTCCATGTGTGGGGGGGGCTAACCTCCACTCTCAGAAAAATTCTATAGCCACTGGCTTGACAGGTACAATGTACAAGGGCAAGTGCAAATACACATACAAGGGCCCAACTCTGAATCATTTCAGTAAAAATGTACGGTATTCGGAAGCATTCAGATTGTTTTCCTTCTGTCTGGTTTTTCCTTCTGTCTGGCTTAAATGCCATCCCAGCTTTTTACTGCTGCACATGAAATGAAGGTCGATTCTCTGGGGTAAAGTCATTTTCTCAGTGGTTATTTTTTCTTCCAAAAAACCTGACCATGGGTCATGCTCAGAGGAGTATAGAATGTTTTAGACTTGGCAGCAGAAGTACACAATCAAGCAAAACAGGGTTTCTCGACTGAAAAAAAGAAAAGAAAATTCTTTTCTGCAGTATGTTGTAAGCAGGATGACGGGCTCGGATGAGTTCGAGCAAAGTTGTGACATTCTTGCAAGATCTCAGATAGCACCAAATTTTCAGTCCTCATTTTTTTATTGAATTGCATTAGTGAAAGATGAATCTAGACAGTACAATTAAAATCTCAAAGAAAAACTCCATCTTTAATTGAGGTATTTACTTGGAAAAATGTTTTTATATTTTGGGGGATGTTTGCACAAAATACACTAAAACACTTTGAACCACACAGAACCAGGGAATATGGATACAAGAAATATATATTCAACTCTGTCTGGCCTGAAAAGGGCCCTTTTTTCCCCATTAGCAATACACCCTTGTGATTCTCCACTGTAAGGTCAATGCCGGAAGGAAGGCTTTGCTCATTTTTAGCCCTTTTATTTTTTTTTTTTGGTAAGTCCGGGATTTTTTTCTTGAGGTGAAGTCCAGACCCTGGAGTGCTTTATGTGCTATTGTGTGGACTGTAACAGTAATGAATCGCTCTGTGAAGGCCACCCCAAAAAGCTAGACTTGAGGAGCTGGTGTTTGTATGCACAGGTACATGTAAAGGCTTCCTCTGAACTGGTCGTGCTGAGCAGTGGCTAAATGAAGGTAGGGATCGTGGTGGGTGAAGTCCCCTTTCCCTCCTGGTTTTTGCCGTTATTTGGACATGGCTAACAGTACATCACTGCTACTGGCTTCCGGCGAGAGTGAAAGTCACTACTTGCAGCAGCTGTGGATGGTAGACCTGAATAGAGTGTGAAATTCTCAAAGCCTGTCACCAAGGGGGAGGGGGCTGGAGAGGCCAGGCCCCTCAAGCAGCAGCCCCTCCCCCTTTGGCTAAAACCACGAGCTTGAAAATAATATATTGTTCTTGTGATGTGCCCCCCCCCAGCTGGAACAGTGCCTTCCCTCCCCCATGCCCAATGCTAGCGACGAAGCTGACCTTCTCCCTGGATTACCAGGTCTCCTTTCAAATTTCAAGCTCTGACCTACCCCAGTGGTGAACGTGGTGCCTTTTCAGGAATTGGAATTGCTGATACTTCACTGAGAAACAGTACTACCACCTTCAAGTTTCCTGAGGGGTGATTATTCTTTTAGGGCTGACAAAACGGACGGACAATCTTTTTGGAATCCCCCCTTCCCGTTCCTCTATCTACCCCAGCATGTTCTTTGCTATTGCCATATGTAGACTGCTTCATCGAGGCACTCAGCATGATAGACTCATTCTAGAGTTTTGTCAATTCTAAACTTTTTCAAAGTTTCCAGCATGATAGCCTCATTCTAGAGTTATGTGTACCTGTACTTTTCTACATGAAGTTCCTCACTTCCTTGCAATAAAGGTTTTCACACAGACGCATACCAGTACATTTATGTGGACAAACAGCAGGATTGTGCAGTTTAAACTGTTCTCGATAAAACCTTTGCTGGGGTAGGTTGAGCCTTTCAACCCCCCCCCCCAAAAAAAACCCAAAAAGCTCAAAGGAAAAGATTTCATGATTCATGACAGCACAAATATACTGTAATATAGATCTGTTCCATTTTTGTCAATTCTAAACTTTTTCAAAGTTTCCAGCATCGCAGAAAACCTTTGCCTAAGTTGCTTTGCTACAATTCAGTCCAAGCTAGGGGCCAGCACTATATCAAAGGACGTAAGCTGCTTTCAGAATGCAAGAATTAAAGTTCACAGTAGTTGATCCCTTATTGCCAAACAGCTTCTGGGGAACTAGTACTCGGTCTTTACAACTTCCTTCCTCAAGGACACAGGATCAGAAGGGATTACTTCCTGAATGTATCGCCAACAACAGCCTACCTAGGATGGACGTGTGTGGGCGTGAATGAACATGGTGCAAGTGAACTATCAACAGACAGAATTTTACCCCAGTACTGATCATAGCACACGTCCATTACCAAGCAGGAAGGTGGAAAGTTGGATTTATTCAGATACATGTGACATCTATCATTTCAACTAAAAAATGAATACTGTTTTCTGACACACAGTAATACCGGTGGGCTTGTTGTGCACTGCTCTGTGCTTGCATGCAAAGTTTGGAATGTTCTGAAGGGAACACAGCAAAAGGAGACTTTTTTTTGTTTACTAACTCCTTGCTAAGTAAAATACCGTATACACCAACATGAAATGTCTTCCAGACATACACGTGTACGTGTAGGGTACCTACTGGTATCAGCTGTATAAGACTAAGGCTGCATCCGAATCTCTTGTCTAGGTCTAGGTCTTCGCTCCATTGGAAATGCGTGGAGATGCCTAGACAATAGACCTAGCCGTAGCTCTGGAAGCCTGTTTCGGACACGGCCTAAAAATAATATGAATCTTGAAGGACGATGGGTACAAACTCACTCAATCTTCTGAAAATTAGAGCTGGATCATGTGAATCTACAAAGGAACATTTTTAAAGTGTAATTGGACCACCAGAATTAGAAGCCATTACTGCGGTGGCTCCATGCTCGTGGACAGGTGGTATGCGCGTTACATGCCTCTTCGACCAAAAGGGTGTCGTGATTGCCAAATGCACACGCGCGTTAAGCTGAAGAGTGTTTGTGTGAGTGTGGTACCACCACAGTAAGGGCGTCTCATCGTCTATTTCAACTCCCCCAAAAGTTGTCTCTTGTCCTTTTTTATACGGAAGTAAAAAGCCAAGAATCCTTGACTAGACTGGCCAGCAAACCAGAAGAGTCAATGACAAAGAAAAACACCAGAAGTTATTCAGGCTTCACCAAACGGATGGCTTGTGAGGATTTGGCTTTCTGTTTGATACTGCGGGCTTTGATCTGTGGCGACAGGCATTGGAGGGAGGTGGAGCCAGGCCCCTGGATTGAACTTACCCTGGACTTGTGTGGGTGATAGCCACAGCAGGAGTGCCAAAGCGCACTTGTTGGGCCCTGGTAGGCTAAGCGAGCTTGCTACAGAAGCTTGCGAATCCATGAATACACCACGGTGCTCCCCCCCAGGGTAGAGCTTTCCCATGGGACAGGCTCTGCCCTTAGCAACACTTTCAGTTTTTCAATCTCCCCCCCCAAAAAAGGACCAAAACTAGCATCACTTCACTGTGTCAAAAGTGAGCATCCTTGACTTATTACAATGGGTGAAGCTGGCAGATTTTTTTCCAGCTTTGGAACAGTAAAGTCAGTTTAAGGCTAGCACTAAGTTTACATGGTACCCAATTCATTTTTTCTTAATCCTGTCATTTTGCTTTTTTCATAGATTTTTAACCTGTCCTTATCTAGTATTTTGGGGGGATTTTTTGAAATTAGCCTTTTATGTCTTTAAATAATGTTTATTATGTTTTGTTTTTGATAATTGACACTATGGCTTCTGCAGAGCCATGAGCACAATACCACCACCTAGTGGCTTAATTACAACAATATACATGTACTACATGTAATGTGCAACATATGTACATGTACGTACGTACATGTACATGTATAGCAAACTACTATAGTCAGTTACAATACATGCCTATTTGCACTTATCAGAGTTCTTTGCACTTGCACTAGGCCAATCAAGCACTTTGATATACTGCAGAATGGCAGTCATAGAACAGAATAGACAGGCCCCCAATTCCCACTCTACATGT